ATATATATATATATATATATATATATATATATATATATATATATATATATATTTAGTATTTGTAAGTGATGTTGAGGACAATGGGAAATTTACAAGTAGCAAAGTATGTCTTTTCAATTCTTTAATATCCTTTTATGACATGTTAGCCCTACCTCTGAAAATCATGGTTCACAAAATTTATCTTAAAAATATATATATATATATATATATATATATATATATATATATATATATATATATATCGATAAAACTCCGTCAAAAAATGTCAAATCCTTAACGTGAAGGAAAAATGAAGAAACGATACCATTTAGGGTTTGAATCGATTATCATCTTCTTCAAAGGAAAAAAAATCATTAAAATTTATCGAGTATTATCTCATTTTAACAATCAAAATTTGAACTTGTACCCCGATCGCACAAAGCTAAAAAAGTTTTGATAGAGAGATAATACCCGACAAGCTGGTATGAGACAAACGCTCCCACGCGATGCATACTGTGAGATCTCACGTTAGTTGGAGAGAGAATGAAGCATTTCTTATAAGAGTGTGAAAACTTCTTCCTATTAGACACATTTTAAAATCGTGAGATCGACGACAATACATAACGAATCAAAACATATAATATCTACTAATGATGAGCTTGAACTATTACACATAACTAGGTCGGTTTTACTTAGATCTTACTTATCAAACTCCATAATTCTAACCGTACAAACCACCGAAAAAATACCCTAAAAACACACACAAACAACCTTGAAAATACTCCGAAAATTATCTAAGCCGTACACCCCACGCAACCCTAAATCACCATTCAAATTTAAAAAAAAAAAAAAAAAAAAAAAAAAAAAAAACAAATCCAATGGCAAAGAAGGATGTGATTGGGTACGAGGGTACAAAATTGTCATAAATTTTGTCAGTGATAAGCCTGTCAGTATGGCTTACTTGTACGAACAGATAATATTTATTATTATTATTATTATTTTCCCCAAAAAAAAAGCTAATTAAAAACAAATTTAATCCATTAATTCAAAATCAAATTCTTTTTCTTTTACCTCTTTTAGGTACATCACCCACTAACAAATTTGCTCATAAACCATTCCATTCCCTTTCATCTGTCCCAAAAAGGAAACCCTTTTTCCCCTTTTTCTCTCTCTAAAAATCCATGGTACCTGTTCATCAAGCTTCATAATTTGCAGCTCACCACCAAATCTGTAAGAAATTCACCTCTTTTTTGCTATGAATCTCTGTTTTCGTGTTCTTAATTGAACCGATCGTTGTTCTGACGATTAGGGTTTGTTTATTTTCGTAGATCGAGCAAATTTATACGGTTTATCGGTTCGTAAATTCATCGTTTTTCATGCAAATTACAGAAAATTTGGATCTGGGTCGAGTTGAAATATGACGAGACAAAAAATTCAGATTAAAAAAATCGATAATATAGCAGCTAGGCAAGTGACGTTTTCAAAGAGGAGAAGAGGGCTGTTCAAGAAAGCTCATGAACTTGCTACTCTCTGTGATGCTGATATTGCTCTCATTGTTTTTTCTGCTTCTGGGAAGCTCTTTGATTATTCTAGCTCAAGGTAATTTTCTCTTTCTCTCTCTAAAAATTTACTGTTTTTTATTTATTTATTTTATTTTAATGAATTTGTTCTTGTTTTTGGCTTGGATTTAGGGATTATTGAATTAAATTAATAAGGAATTTGATATAAAGATTGGGTTTTTAGGCTTTTTTTTTTGTTGAAATTGTGGGTGTTTTTGTCTAAAAAAACATGTTTTTTTAGTTAAAGATGTGATTTTTATGGTTTGAATTATTGTAAAAAACATTTATTTATTAGTAAAATGAATTTAATTACATTTTTTTTCAATATAATTCTTTATTTTTTTTATTTTATGAAGGAAATAATGTTTAAATTCATATTGTTTTTATAGTTTATATGGGAAAAAAATGGTATTTTAAAATGACCTGCAAACCCATGACATCATAAGTGACATGTTAAATGTCTTAAATTTTGTTCCAAAAAAACATGAAATTGTTTGCAACTTGTCCTAGAATCTCTCTCTCATAATGTTTGGTTTTCTCTCCCTCTAATTATGGGGTTTGTCTGTACTAATTTGTAAATATCAAAAGTTTCTATGTAAAGAAAAAAAAAATATCTTTTGAAATTGTACCGAAAATTATTTATATAATCAAAATTGTATCGGCTCAAGCTCACTGCTAGTAGATATTGTCTGTTTTATCTCGATATGTATCGTTATCAGCCTCGCGTTTTTAAAACGAATCTACTAAGAAGAGGTTGTCACATTCTTATAAGTAATGTTTTATTTCGCTCTCCAACTAATATGGATCTTAAGTGATTGATGTCATGAATAACCTTAATTCTTACACCGTCGTTGTCCTATCCTTTTTTATCTTATTTAATCGAATTCTCGAAGAATATTTTTTAAAATAATTTCAAAGTTCAAAGGTAAAAATGAAAATTTTTAAAAAGACTAATTCTTTTATATTTTTAGCGTGTTTACAAAGGTAACCGGTTAGGTGGACTTTGACTTTTGAAACGATACGTTGGACCGAGTCAAGAATGAAAAACGTCCACTAACGCCCTTTAAAAGGGATAAAATCTTTTTTAGATTAACAGAAATCTCTCTCTAGCAAAAACATTTTAAAACAATGAGGCCAAGGACTAAAATGGACAATATCTACTAGCGGTAGCCTTACAAATTTGAATTCCGACCTTAGAAAAAGAGTATGTATCAATTATCGTTGAGTTATATTATATAGTTTTATCATATTCTCGAAAAATGTTTTTTATTGCATGAAGCATGCACGAGTTACTTGGAAGACATAATAAGCTACCAGAGGTGAATAACTTTTGCCAACCTCAATATCAGGTGAGTTCAAATTCGAAATTCCGACCTTTTGATCGATGATATATATATAGTCATACCCATATGCTTAGGTTGGCACCGTAAGGCGGTTGTTGCTTTGGTTAATCGTTTTTAGGGTTTATTTAGCAGATGGAAAAGAGTGTGTGTGCTAATTTGAGAGAGGAATTTGCAGCCAAAACCAAAGAACTTAGGTAACATTACTAAAATCTTTATAAATTATAGGGAAAAAAGAGTCTGATTTTGTGTTAAAACTATGAACAAGGCATATGAAGGGAGAAGAACTTCAAGAACTGGGAATAGAAGAATTAAAGAAGCTCGAGAAATTGCTCGAGATTGGTTTGAATCGTGTCTTAGAGACAAAGGTTCGTAATTCATACCAAGTTTTATTCGGTAGTTAACCTTATGATCATCAAATTATGTTATAAGTCGGAGATTTTGTGTGTTGTTCTTGCAGGATGAAAAGTTTCTAAAAGAGATCGATGCTGTGAAGGAGAAGGTCGATAATCGATTTTTGAAAATTACGCTTATAATCACTACTTCTACGTAACACAACGGCTATTCTTACGAATATTTTTATGCTTTTAAAAACTTGTTCGAATTTGGCTAAGAATTCAAGTGTTTACATGAGTTTCAAGAACAAAATGGATCATCGAAAAGGGTCTTAAATATTCTCGAGCACGAACGATAATAATGCGAACCCGCTTCATATAATACATGAATATTGATTGCAGGAAGCTTTGCTGATGAAAGAGAATCAGAGACTGAGGAATCAAGTGAGAGCTTTGAATAGAGATCAGCAAGAACAGCAAGCAGTGGGTGTTGGTGGGAGCTCCTTGGGCTCAAAGTCAATCACTAGCAATAGCAGCTCCTCACCAAACCCTAGTTCTCAAGATTGTGATGATATTTCTCTCAAATTGGGGTTAGTAGTTTTCTTGCATGCACTACATAAAAGGCATTTGAATCCCTTTTTTTGTTTTTTTGGAGATTAAAAGACTTTATCGATTTGAAATGATTGTTTAAGTGCTTAAGAATGGCTCATGAAAATAAGACGTTTCAAATAAGCCTTGAGATAGGTTCATTGGTACGACTCGGTTCGAACATTCCTTTAGAAATGGTGACTTAAAGATCTCTTTAGAATGAAGACTATCTTCACAGACCAGCATATGTCATTTTAGTATGTTTTGTCGTCATTAACATGCTTTTTAGACCAACATGGGTCATTTTAGTATGTTTTGTCCTCATTCACATGTTTTTTAGACCGACATGGGTCATTTTAGTATGTTTTGTTCTCATTCACATGTTTTTTAGACCAACACGAGTCATTTTATTATAGAAAAGTTTCTAAGATGTCACTCAATACAGAATTGCTCCAGTGAAAGCAAGTTTAATTTTAGAGTTCTTATGGAAGTCTGTTTTAACCATCACATCCTCAAGATCGCTCTCATTTGAATATGATCTCGATTCATTCATGTACCTGTCCTTTACTCGTGTGTAAAAATGATTTGAAAGATTGTGGGATATTCGAGAAATAACTATACCAAATAACAGTTCAAAATGTTCTAGAAAGGTAGCTAAACAACTTTCAAAAGGACTATAACCATTCAAACAAAGTGAGTGAGTTTCTTGCAGAGAAAAAAGATCTGTGTGTACAAAGAGATGACAATTAATATATGTTTGCCTCTATATGCAGTCTTTGAAGGCTCAAAGTATGCGATTCTCTGCAGCAGCTAGGCAATGCAAGCTCAGCCTTCTCTAATGGAGCTTTTACTAATCACTGGACTGCCAAAGCCACTCCTATTTGCATACAGAAAATAAGGATGTGAAAAGGCCAATTCATTCAATATCATATCATGTTTTCAAAGCAGAAATGAGTTACATACATGAATATTTGTTTCTGCATACCAATTGATCAACAGTTGATGAAACTTTGAAAGGGAGTTTTATAAGGAAAATGACACTTTTCAGACAAAGTAAACGAACCTGCTTGCCTGCTGGCTTTTGTAGCATCTGGAAGCACATGCATTACATGGGTTTTTCCTTTTTGAGTTTTTTCTCCAGGCTTTAAAACGTGTCTATTAGGGAGAGGTTTCCCCATCTTTATAAATAATACTTTGTTCTCCTCTCTAACCGATATAAGATCTCACAATTCACCCCCCTTTCGGGGCTCAACCTTCTTGCCGGCACATCGCCTTGTGTCTAGCTCTGATACCAACTGTAAAGGCCCAAGTCTACCGCTAGTAGATATTGCTTTTTTTTTTTGGGTTTTCCTTTTGAGCTTCCCCTCAAAGCTCTTAAAACGAGTCTATTAGGGAGAGGTTTCCACGCTCTTATAAATAATGTTTCATTCTCCTCTCCAACCAATGTGAGATCTCACATATGTGATATCTCAATCATCAAGATGTCACAGAGACTGTGGTTCTAAATCACTGAAGTCACAGCATCAATTTAGAGAGCAAAACACCATTTTTTTGGTCTCAATAAACAGATTCTTTTCATAATACAGCGAGACAATTGTCAAGACAGTCAGAATACATGATAACTGCAGGGACAAATTGTCAAGTTAGAAACAATTTACATGATTAGATCTCTATGAAGGGGAAGCAACACAAATGCTCGTACAGTCCCGGAGACGAAATGAGAATCGGGTGGGTGCAGTTATATTCTGATGCATGGGGATGTCTTTAAATTGTTTCACACAGAGTCTGAAATGAGCAACTGTTCAAGTTCTTGCTTTTGTCTTTCCAACTCCTGCAACACATTCATGGCTTCCTTAAGATCAAATTATGCTTCCTTAAGATCAAATTATGTAAACAAATGGTTTACTAATATGTCTTAATGTATTTCATTACAAAAATGGCAAGACAGTGTTAGTATCCCTCCATACTCCCCACTGAGTTATGGAACTATCCGATAAAATAATGGTTACCTGAAGATCTTTGACGACCCTGTCCTTTGAAGTCTCCTTCTCTTCACGAGCACGTTTGAGAAACCCAATGCATAGAATTCCCTTGAGATTCATAGGAAAAACTAGAATCAATTGATTCATGACAGAATATTTCAAATAGATGCATTATTCCACTTAGTGTCATCCAAGAAAACAAGCATGTATTCACATATTTCATACACTGTATGCATACTTGCATAGGGATGATAATTTAGTTAACTGATGTTTGATAGCATAGCGCACACACATGTGACTTAGCATCTTGGTGCACAGAAGGTTCACGAATCAACTTGCACCTCCCATAATTAGTCTAAGACATACTGAAACTAAAATTCAGTGAAGTCAAAGACATACTAAGGATGAAGAAAGGCACAATTACAGAAAGTATCTTGGATATTGAGATTTTGGGACAAGACAATGAGAAAGAGAACCAAAAAATGAAATGTAACCGCCTAAGTCCACCGCTAACAGATGTTGTTCTCCTTGGGCTTTCTCTCAAGGTTTTTAAAATGTGTTTGCTAGGGAGAGGTTTCCACACCCTTATAAAAAATGTTTCGTTCCTCTCTCCAACCAAGGGGATCTCTCAATCCATCCCCCTTTGGGGCCCAGCGTTCTCGCTGGCACACCGTCCAGTGTCTGGCTATGATACCATTTGTAACCGCCCAAGCCCACCACTAGCAAATATTGTCCTCTTTGAGCTTTTCCTTTGGGGCTTCCCCTCAAGTTTTTTAAAACGTAGTGTCTGCTAGAAGAAGTTTCCACACCCTTATAAAGAATGTTTCGTTCCTCTCTATAACCGATGTGGGATCTTATAAACCTCTAAAGAAATACAGAATACACTGATGCAAGCAATGTCAACTTTCAAGTGTCTGATTTCTTGACTTTGTTGCATAAAGCACACTCTCTGTTTCTCGATGTAACTAATGTTCTTCTCCAACCAAGTATTATCTATAAAAACTTTATCGCACAAATACGAATAAAGTTTCCTTTTTTGGCTATGCGCTTTTTATTTTGCTAACTTTCTAGTGGGCAAGTGCATGAACAGGTAACATAAGTTTTTTTTTGTTGAAACTAAGTGAAACACGAGTGTAAAAGTTGTGTTCTCTTGCTGTTGGCTCAACCAGAAAAAATATAGAACATACCAAAGAAAGGAAAATATGTAAATCTCCATTTAACCATCAAAAATATTGCTTTTCCTTCGGAGTTACCAAAACTTCACAGATCACGCAACAAGCAAAGAGCAGAAACATATAAAACATCTTTTCCAAGCCTTAGGATTAAATTAGGAAACAAGGTGTTGTTCACAAGGCTCACCGATACAACATAGACTGCACCGCAGGCAAGGAGGAGATAACTTGCAGCCTCTTGAAGAAGAATAAACTCTCTCTGCTCGACAGAATACGCCGGGAAAGCTCTTGTCATTACTGCAACACTGCAAAAAAAAAAAAAAAAAACTACAACTTAAAACAAATTGAATATTCATGATACAACAAATCCATGCATTTAATGGATCTCATGTGGAATTTATTTGATCAAGTTGAGATTTTCTGTAACAGTCCAAGCCCACCACTAGTAGATATTGTCTTTTTTGAGTTTTCCCTTTTGAGCTTCCCTTCAAGGTTTTAAAACACGTCTGTTGGAGAGAGTTTTCTCCACCCTTATAAAGAATGCTTTGTTCCCCTCTCCAACCGATATGGGATCTCACAGTCCATCCCCCTTCGGGACCCAGCGTCCTCACTGACACTTGTTCCCTTCTTTAATTGATATGGGACCCCCTAATCCACCCATCTTCGGGGCCTAGTACCCTTGCTGGCACACCGCCTCGTGTCCACCCCCTTCAGGGCTCAGCCTCCTCGCTGGCACATCGTCTAGTGTTTGACTCTGATACCATTTCTAATCGCTCAAAGAAGACAATATTGCTAGCGGCGGGCTTGGACAGTTGTATATTTATAATCATGGTAAGTACATATCTCTACTGCACGACAAAATCTCCTATTGGAGTAAATTTCAGAAGTCTCAGTCTAACATCCTAGGAAATGGTCATCCGTCCATTGAACTAACAAAATGGCAACTAACCAACAACTGATGTTGCATGTATAGGTATATTTTTCATCGTAGGCTTACAATTCAGTAACAAAATAGACCGAGTGCATGCAAGATTCTCAAATAGAGCATAGGAACAAGTCAGAAAAATAAAAAGGAAAAAGTTTCAAATGCTAATCAAAATAAAAGCTTACAAGATTTGCAACATGCCCCGGCCAGCCCAATATTCCAATACCTGAAATGCACAAACCCAATTGAATTAAATGATGCAGCAGGCAAGTCCTAATTAGACATCATATGCATCTCTGAGCTTCAAGGAATATAGCGAACTTTAGTACTTCATAGCAGACTGCAGTTTCAGTGACATCCCAAAAAAATTTAAGAAGGGAATGAACTGCTATGAACGAATATATAATTCCACTTGATAATTCCTTCAATAGGAGTTTCTATGCCAAAAAGTAATGTTTGATACTTGCTAGCAGTATGACATCCCAGAGAATGGAAGGGAGTGAAACATTTATCATGAATATATGTATCAAATAAAATAAAGAAATTTTGCCGTAGGTGAGCAACATAGACAGAAAAATTAAGCTGACCGATCGAAACCGTTTGAACCAACTTTGATCAGTCAGCTTAAGTGTGTGTGAGTCTGGGTCGGTTTTGCAAGGTCGGTTAGTAGGCGAGCCCAATAATTCTCAAACTGACCAACCAATTGATACTCTCCTCTCCCTATCAGTCAAGCTGCTTCTCCATGCACCGTGTCTCGGCATGCTCTGCAAAGTTTCAAGAAAGTGTAATTGTGACACACCGCACACCCCCGCTCCCCCTTGATTCTCTCTCTCTCTCTCCCTCCCTTGCCACTCCCTCACTCTCTCTCTGCCATAGCTCTCGTCTCCCTCAGTCGTCATCCCATTCTTGCCTCCTCAATCATTTCACTCGTCTCCCTCATGGCTTTGTTCTTTGCTATCCATCTCCTGTATCCAACAGCGTCCCCTCTGCCCAAACAATCCCAAATACACAAACACACATACACACATATCAACTGGTCGGTTGGTTGATGCAATCAAACATGAAAAACCCGTCATTTTCCAATATATGGAAACCAACGTGGTCAGTTTCAGTCGAAAGCCGACCCCAACTGACTGCTGCACACACACCTTCAGGATAAATTTGTGTAAAAGAAATGCTTAGTTGTGTTGATAGGAACAAATTAATGTAGAAAATGAAAAGGCCATCATAACTTTCCCTTTTCTTCAATACAAAAAGTCCTCTCCTAGACACTAAATGGACCACCAGACTAATAAAAACTTGAGACACCATTAAAATACCACCATAGCAGCAAACAAAGACCAGTTTTGACATGGAGCCAGATAACTGTATGTATGGAGGGGGCAGATTTCAAGCTTCAATGATCAATTATTGCCTAGAAAAGCATAAAGAAACCATATATCCCTTCATTTCTGATCATTTTTAAGATTTAATGGGAAGATTGAAGTGGAAAACAAATAGAGTCGGGAGTAAAATCACTTCAGAAACTAAGAATTTAGGGTTCGGAAGCAAAACCTTCCAGTTCTTGAGAATAAACTCCCATTCCGTCTCAGCAAGTACCACGAAGAACGCGATCACAACTGCATAACACCGAAATATACCATCGAATATCTGCCAAAAAGTTACACAAACACATGATCCCGCTTTCAATTGAAAAAATTACTTAACGAAGAAGCAACAGAGTGAGTACATCGGATTTGTTCTTAAATGACCGAATCGCAGCGATAACGTTGGAAACAATGCAGAGAATGGCAGTGAGAGCTGTTACAACACTGAAAAACCTGCAAGTTACAAGCAAAGGATCCACCCTCCTACCAGGTCTGATGGTCTGAGAAGACGATGCCGCCGTCGCCGCTGCCGTCGTCCCCGCCGCCGCTCCCTCACCGCCTCTCTCCATTTTCTGAGTTTCCCTGAATTTCCCTCGTACGGTTCAGCTTACTGATTGGACAAGATGATTGAATCGACAAACTTTCCCCAAGAATTCACAGCGTTAACGGAACCTGCTCCGCCACGTGTCAAAACAATAATTATCAGATTAACTCTAAAATTAATTTTAACACGATAATAATTCAATTAATTAAGACCTAAATAATAAATATTTAAAAAAAATACCATTTGTTTGTTTCCTTTCAAAATATCTTGGGATGATAATTGTTATAATCCATGCCAATTGCCAGCCATTGAAGGGTCCCTCCCCTGTCTCTTCCCTTTTTATGCCATTTTATTTTCTCTGAAGTCGTGAATTGTTGTTGAAGAGGAATCGAGAGCACAGTGAAAGATCTGAAGCCATGAATGTCGATGAGGAAGTTGAGCGACTCAAGGAGGAAATTCAAAGGCTTGGTAAGGTCCAAGATGATGGTTCTTACAAGGTATCTACGATTTTTACATGTATAAACACGATTCCATTCTTCTCTCTTCTTTTTGGGGATCTTTTCCCGTTTTCCAGGTCAACTGTTCTTGTTCGATGTCGATCTTTCTCAGATGCTGAGATTTTTACCAGTTAGGCTTGGAAATAGGGCGGTTCTGAGTTGGATCTAGAATTTGAAATTGAGTTCTTCGATTATTTTTCTTGTAGTTTCAGGACGAGATCTGCCTGCCTATTACCTGTTTGATGTTTTGCCATTGTTGGTTCTGATTGGTTATGGCGAAAAATCTGAACTAAATTGAAATGATTGAATCGTGTTGTGTTACTAGATTCATTGAACCATTTGAAAGCCAGCTTGCCTTGCATTTGGATGTCTTTTAACTTGTGAATCTGCCTCTCTTCATTGGATAGAAAGTTTGAAACCCTAAATCTTATGATCCAGATAATGATTCAATCGTTTTTAGAACTGAAATGCAACTAGTTCTTTGTTCTGATCATTCATTACTGTCTTGTTCTAATCAAATATTTAGAACTGAAATGTAACTAGTTCTTGATTCTGATCATTCATTATTGTCTTGTTCTAATCAAATATTTAGAACTGAAATGCAACTAGTTCTTTGTTCTGATCATTCATTAATGTCTTGTTCTAATCAAATATTTAGAACTGAAATGCAACTAGTTCTTCGTTCTAATCATTCATTATTGTCTTGTTCTAATCACATATTTAGAACAGAAATGCAACTAGTTCTTGGTTCTGATCATTCATTATTATCTTGTTGTAATCACCTATTTAGAACTGGAATGCAACTAATTATTTGCTCTGATCATTCATTAGCTGAAACTAGTTCTTTGCATTCATTACTCTCTTCTTCTAATCAAATATTTAGTGCTGAAACTAGTTGTTTGCACAGCTGAAATGTCAGACATGGATACGAAACTCCTCATGAAACAAAATTTGCATATGCATATGCCATATCATTTCATCATATGAATTTTGGGTTTTCAATTTTGCAGGTAACATTTGGGGTGCTGTTCAATGATGACAGATGCGCTAACATATTCGAAGCGCTGGTCGGGACGCTACGAGCAGCAAAGAAGAGAAAAATAGTGACTTATGATGGTGAGCTGTTGCTGCAAGGAGTTCATGATAATGTTGAGATCGTCCTCAAAGCCACTCCAGCAGCAGAAGTTGCAACCACTGCAGCTGCGAAGGCTTGAGTAGTGATCCATATGCAGCATTTAAAACAGTGTATGCATCTTGAATTTCTATGTTCTATTATCACAATTTTCAATTTTAATAACATGTTTATCAAATTTGCACTAAAGTTGCCTCGCATTCTAGATCCAATACCGTCAAGAACAGCTTTTACTCTTTGATCAAGAACAGCTTTTACTCTTTGTTCCTTGATCGAAATTTCATCACATCGTGAATTTATGTTCCCTATATTTTACATATCCATATGAGTTCTTGAATTTTGAAGACAGTGCGTAAAAATAGATAGTTTGGATTATTACTATTTGACTCGGACTATAAATATAATTATTTTTACCTATACATGCTCAATATTCCTTTTTCCTAGTCATTATTCGCCAGTTGATCCCCTCAAACAAGAGATCACATAGTTCCCTCTCAAAGTTCACATTTCTAACATCAATTGGAACATGCTTTTATCTTAAGCTATCTCTTCTTGTTTATAGATCCCTCCATCTTAGTCTCGGAGTTATATGATTATGTCATCAAAGTTTACCACTTTGTTCTTCACTCAACATTGCATCTATAGACATAGCTAAATTTAGGACATGACCTTGATACCACTCGTTAAAATCAACAACTTGCTACATATCTCTATAATGGTATGACACTATCATGACTTCACTTTTCCTCATATCGGTTGAAATAGTCATTAGTTAATAACAAATAGATGGTATCAATTTGTCGAAAATAAACAAATGGTAAGATACGAAAGATAGGTTGAAGGCTTCTTAACCTTATATTAGATAATTATTACTCATATAAGTGTTTAATAGAGGAGGAATTGGCTCCTAAAATCTAGGTTTACATAGCTCATATGATTAGCATACACACATTGTGTTGGGAAGAATAAGTGAACCTCTAAATCTAGTCCGATGCTCCACAACTTCCATTTTTGTTTCTCTAAAATCACAACCCACCCTTGAGAAAGTTGATGCAAAGCCTCTTCCATGCTTCCCTATCTGCCTCACCTTCTTCCAAATTGCTCCTCATCTCCTCACCAAACTCATCCTAAGCCCAAAATACAACATTCAGCAAACTACATCAACTTCGGAATTTCAAATATGAAATACCGTATTCATGATATCTTGGTCAAACTAAGCACAGCTCTCAACTAGTTAAGGCCTATGTCATCGTTTAATGATTTGAAAAATTACAAATAGTATGACCCAATATTGAAATTTCTTCGTAATAAACTTACCGTGATGAGTTTTCGTAAGACAAGACGGTCAATTAGATGTAGGAGAATGTCTTTAGTGTACTCGGGATGACCTTGAATGCCTAGGATATGGTCTCCATATTTGAACATTTCTATGCCATACTTATCTGACCGCCCAATCACTTCCGCCTTGGTCGGAAGTTCGTAGATCTATATCATTTTTTCAAGACCAAATTAGAACATATCAACTTACAAATACAAATACATGAGTAACCATTAACTTTCAATAAATCTTTTTTTCTTTTTATCGAAATTGGTTAATTAAAACTCAGAGTAAAATTTAAGACGAAAAGAAATCTATTTAAGTTTTTTTTTGAAACTATAAACACTAAATTTAGATATTTAAATTACATGAATTAAAATAAAAAAAAATAATAATAATACTTTAACCTGATACAAACCTCATCGCGATGGCATTCGATTACAGAGAGTGCCGTGGGTATTTTGAGGTATGAGAAGAGCTTGTTAGATGACGACACGTGTACGGTTGTGATCCCAATGTCCCATCCAGATCTCCCCCTGCCCGTTTTTCCCCCCAAAGCACGTCCCAATATCTAAATAAATACCAACCCATCAAACAAAATTTATTTACTTTTTTTTTTCCTTATAAATTAAATTTCTCTATTAATAAAAACAACAAAATAACAAAAATAACAAAAATAGGAGAAATGCAAATGAATTCCATCTTAAATGAGGAAAGCTAACCTGACCGGGACCGACAAAAGTCAGTGGACTGTGACCAATCAGAAACGGACACGTCATAAACACTTCTTTAATGAACCACGTGCCGTCAGCCAAAGCAACCCCACGTAATTCTATTTGTTTGTTTATGATTTTTTTTTTTAATAAAAGTTTTTAAATACATTTATTGTTAAATTCTAAATTAACTTTGGTGAGATTGATTGATTTGACCTATAAAAGGAATTAATAGAATGGAATAAAGAAAAAGGATGCTATATGATAATTGATAACTACATTTTAACTAAATATAAAGAATATGGTTTTAAAATAGCTCGAGAGCTAACTCAATTGGATAACACATTCGCACGGGAACACCGTTCTTAGGTTCTTAGCATGTTACACGTTTGTATCCCAAATCTACATAATTGTTCAAAATATTTTAAATGAAATCTATTCCTCACTTGAAATATAAAAAATTTAAAAAGCTATTAAATAATTTTAAAAGTTTACGTTTAAATTAAATTTAATTATTTTTAATGTTGGACTTTTTGAAATTGCATTTATTAACTCATAATTATCATTTAATTGTCATTAACCACTCTTTAAAGTCTTTAATAATGAATATAAACTTTAGTTTTTGAGATCGGAATAGGAAATTAGAAGAATTTAAAAAATTATGTTAAAAGTAAATAAAGTTATTAACAAAAAGAAACAAAAATTTATAAAATCAATTTTAAAAACACTTATTAAGCAATTCAAATCAATAAAATTAAAAGGTATATTATTAGTTCAACTATTATAATAATGCTTTTTTAAAAAAAAAAGTTAAAATTTTAATTAATTCATTATTATTTCGAGAAAAAACTGAGAAATGTTAAAAAAGAAATGAAAGAAGGGAAATTACGAAAATACCTGATGGCCGAAGCAAATGCCGAGGATTCGCTTGTTCAAGCACGCCAATCTCTGCAACAAAATGATCAATCGGCGGATCCAAGGATCGTCGCCATGGGCATCGTTACAGCTGCCGGTGATCACAAAGCCGTCGTAGGCGGAGATCTGATCGTCGGTCGGAAACTCGCCGGAGGCCACGCGGAAAAGGTCCCAAGCCTCGCCTTCTTCGCCCAACATTCTGACGAACACTCCAAAATATCCTCCGTACTTGATTTTTATGTACTCGGAATCTTCTGCGCAAAGAAGCACTGCAAATCTCTTCATCCCCGTCCTCCACAATGGATCCGGTTTTGCTTCCGTCGCAGATTCTCTCCGTCGTCTCCGGCCGATGAAATGGGGAGGACCTTTCTTAGGTCTCAATGGCCGTTTCTCTCTAACTGCGATTTGAGAGAAAGAGAGAGAGAGGGAACGATAGATAGGTTCTTGTTGGGTTTTTATTTCACATTTAATTAGTCATTGGATGGACACATCGGTTATATGTGTTCATTCGCTCTGAAAATGTTAAAAATTAAAAGTTTTTTAATTTATTAAATTTAGATTTAAAATTTAATTTTTAATTTTGTGTGTAGTTCTAGTTATGCATAGAAATAAACTTGAAATATTAGAGATTAAACTTATTCCATTTGCTTTTAAGAAGGAAATGGAAAGGAAGGAATGAGAATATAACTTTTTATTCCTTTTAAGGTGTTTTCTAACATTGGAAAGAAAAGGCTGGAAACATTGTCGGGTTGGTCGTGTGTGTTTAGTTTAGTTTGGGTGTGTTATTTCGATGTCGAATGTCGAACCGAGTCAATGACACCACTTGAAGGCTGATCTTAAATCAAGTGATGCATACATTATTATTGGAGGAAATAACGATAACATGTTGAAGCTGACCAAGGGTGCAGGACCAACACTCAATCTATGTTTTAAGATCGAAGGCTTGTGCAATTTGCATCTTCCGGTACACGAAAGAAAGTGGGAGTGTGAGGTGGGTCGGCCCTTCGGTCAAGAGGCGAGATAGCAGAGTCGTACACTGACTTTCGCTGTGCGGAAGAACGAAAGCGGATCTAACCGTTTCGATAAACCAACTTCTAGAGCATGAACTAGTATTGGTGGATCAGTATACCATTGGACCATGGTCGTCAGTCTTTGGAAGGTTTTCCGTGACTGGGATCAAATAGTTAAGCCAAAACCAAAGCCAAAGCCATTGACAAGTCTTTCTCCAACTCAAAATTAGAACTTTGCTTAAAAATGGAGGGATTTGCAAAAGGGAGGTCTGCCTAACACATTGCCATCCATTTTGTTTACAATGCAAGTAACTAGTATTGGGTGTGTTTACTAACATTTCTTCCTGATGATCGTTCTTAAAACAAGGATGACCAGGTAGTAAGGTCCTTCGATGAAGACCTGAATACAAACCTCTTACTAGAGTTAAGTAAGAGTCCAAGTCGACCACTAGTAGATATTGTTCTTTTTAGACTTTTCCTTCAAGTGCTTCTCCTCAAGGTTTTAAAACTCGCATGTTAGAGAGGGGTTTCCACACCATATAAGAAATGTTTTGTTCCCCTCTCCAACCGATGTGGGATCTCAAAATCACCCCCTTGTGGGTCTAGCGTCCTTGCTAGCACACTGCCCGATATCTAGATCTGATACCATTTATAACAGCCCAAGCTCACCACTAGCAAACATTGTCCTCTTTAGACTTTCTCTTCAAGGCTTCCCCTCTAGGTTTTAAAACGTGTTTATTAAGAAGTTTCTACACCCTATAAGGAATGTTTAGTTCCCTTCTCCAACTTATGTGGGATCTCACGTCTTAAAAATTTAGAAAAATTTAGAACTCTTGTTGTAAGCCAATAAGGCAACCACCCATAGATAAGTGGAGTAATCATAAACATAGTAGAGAACAGTGTAGGCAGAATATTAGTTTTAGGAACTATTAGTCTTTCTAAATTGGGATAGAAATTTCAAGTGTTCTAAAAGATGCAAAGAACTAAGCTTATTTTCTGAAAAACAGATAGCTAAAAGAAATCATTATCAAACAAAATCTTGGATTTTGTTTCAGATGATATTTACTAGCTCTCAAGTACTGATAAAGAGAACTGGAGCTTTGTGATTCCAATCTTCATTCAAGTGGTTCTTAGTCTATAACAATATCAATCAGAATAAGGGTTCTCATTTCAAAGTTCGGTTGGATGGAATTCATTTCCATTCCTCCAAGCATTCTAGAATACAAGGCTACCCTGTAATGGTTTTGTTTGGGAATGAGGATCTATCATTTCTGCTAAGATGCAAAGTCCTACATTCAAGACATGCATTTTCCCTTATTTTTTATCCCACTAATGGAATCGATCGAAGAAATTGCGTTCTCAATCTTCTATCGGATCAAATCTATTAACAAAATGACATTTACAATAGGAAAGGAAGTTCAAGAAAGATGGAGATCAGTTATAGCTTTTCATCTCCAATCAAGATTTGAATTCAAGTTCTGCAACTATATAGCATCAAATTGTAGAAAATCTATGTTAATACCATATAAAAGTTGTATTCATGTACTTACATTTCCTCGAGGTCCATGCCGATGTTGTTCATCAGTGCATCATCATCTTCCAGAATGAATTTCATGTCACGTTCGAAGAGGCTTGTACCGTCACCGAATCCTATCAGTTGTAGCTTCTCTTTCGGCCTGCAGATGCACGGTTGCTCGCTCAAGCTTCCCTCTGACTCATATTCCATGATAATTCTTTGCAAACATTCAATAACTTCTTGATGATATTGTTGCTTTTGCTCCATCATCCTGCGAAACTGATTCGCTTGGATTTCGATTGCACTCTTCTCATGTTGCAGACGAAATATCATCGCCATTGCCTCTTCAGCTGAAGTAGCAGCTGCCATTCTTTCCTTCTCAAGCTCTTCAAGAGCCTCCTTCTTGTGCTTCCTTTCAATCTTCACCAATTCTCTTAATTTTGTAACATCGAATTCGCCATCTTCAGAATCATTCTCGTTCTCTTCATTATGAACATAATCTTCTAAAACTGCACCCTTCTCTTCACTTTTAACATCGCCATCAGAATCCACAGTCCATGTGGGGTTTGCTACTAAATTGAACTTACTGAACAAGCATCCATTCTTCTTCAACCAATTCAATCGTCTACTTCTACAAGTTTGCACAGTTTTGGAATTGCAAACCTCAACAACACTGGTTTTCAACCAAATTCCATCTCTTATATTGGCAGATTTCTCCTTAAAATCACATCGAAATAGCATCCAATCTCCACAATGCCAACTAAATTGCACAATCTTAAAACTGATCCAAAACAGCAGAAAAAGCCCTAGAATGATAAAAACCCGCGGGAAACACCCGAACACCAGAAACCAGCTTTTAAACTCACTGCTCTGTTTCAAAAGCTTGTTCAATCGCGAAGACAAATCCATTCTCCAAAAAGTAAAATCTCAGCAGAAAAACAACAACAATCAGAGACTTAATTTCCGCACATACACACATACAACTTCCCCCAACAGAATAGCTTCCAATTAAAAAAAAAAACAGAGGGCCAAAAACTCGCAACAAAATCCTTCGCAATAGACACACAAACTCGCAATTCAGCCTCGCAAAAGAAATCAAGAAGAAAAAAAAAATCGACCTAGCGGTTCATCCAAATAGCCAAAGAAAGGGCACAGCGAAAGCGAAAGACGAGCGGAATGAGTCGGAGATTGAGAAGACAAAACTGAAACGCCTAATTTGATAGCAATGGTCGACTGAATCAGTGGATGCTTGGAGAAGAAGAGTTCAGTGGGGCTTACCTCCGGCGGAAGAAAGATTGGATAACGCGGAAGAAAACGAGAGAATCATATTGCCTGAAACTGCAACAATGAACATGATCGGAATCGCATGCAAAAACTGGATAATACCGTACGATCGCGACTTTGAAGACCACACGTGCGACGTGGGAATATCTCTCTGTCACTCTCTCACCAACACACTTCTTCTTTTTTTTCCTTTTTTTTTTTAATCTAAAATTTCAATTAAATTATGCTAATTAATTTTGTTGAGTATTTATGACTTTTAATTATGATTATCAAACGATAATTGTTTGAATTATTCGATGATTAATTTCTTTATCATATTTATATTGAATTAAAAAACTGTTCGAAAATTAAATTTACAAATTAATTACTGATTTATGGAGCTTGGTTCAAATAATGGAAAATTTTTCGCTAATCACCAACCATAAGTGTCATTATTATTAAATAGTAATATCAATTTTTCATTAAAATCTTTCTATTTTTATTATTAATCACTTAAATTCAATTTTTTCTCTATTTCATATTATTGAATTTGTTAAAAATATGAAATATAATTAGAAATGTCCACTCGAGATGAGCGAGAATTGTTAATTGTTTTAAATTTTTTTTATTATTATTCGTTATTTTAAAATGTTTCATTTTTTCAATATAAACTTTATTAAAAATGGTAAAAAATAAAAGAAAATTTAATATTACAACATCATTTTAGTTCTAGTATTACTATTAGATATTAAGCAAGGTGGGAACGAGGATGGAAAATATAATCTCATCTCCGACCCTATTTATAACCTATATATATATATATATATATATATAGTTCATTCGAAAACCTAAATTTAATAATTAAGTAATCAATACATTTTTCATATTAGTAAACAAACAAATAATATTAACTAATAAAAAGTTTCTTAAATAATTAAACATTAAAAGAATTGTTTCAAATAAACACATTTTCGTCTCTAATATTTAATATTCATACAATACCAAATAGAAGACAGAAAATTATGGTTTACAATCAAATGCGAATACAAATAAAGCTTTCTTCCATAACAAGATATGATGATGAAAGTATAATCACAAAGAAAGATAGTGGAAGGCCTTTTCAGGGCTTTTTCCATCAATTTCTGAGTGATGTGGGAAATCAAGAGGCAATTTTGCAGCAGAAACTGATGTTTCATTCAGTACTTTCTCTAGTTCATGGTGCAGAATTCCATTGCCTTCTGGCGTGAAATGCAATCCATCCCTATATTCAAAACACAAACTCTCATATTGAGTTTGATCTACAATGCCTCACTACTAAGTTCATGCGAAACGGGGGTGGGGTGGATGTTCATTGGAGGAATTCTACTTCTTCGCTATGCTCGTGTGACCATTCGATTTAGAGTTTAAACTATCGAGTTAGAATAAGAACATTTCAATTCTAACAGCCCAAGCCTAAGCCCACCGCTAGTAGATATTGTCTGTTTTGGCCCATTATGTATCATTGTCATCCTCACAGTTTTAAAACAAGTCTACTAGGGAGAAGTTTCCACAACCTTATAAAAAATGTTTTGTTCCCCTCTCCAACTGATGTGGGATCTCATATTAACTCACAAATTTCAACGCACAACAATTAATATCACTGGAAAGTTGACTTGAATGTAATGGCCCAAGCC